CTGGATCCTCCAGGACCTTCCCTGGGGCTTTTGTGGCACTGTCCTCTATGGCCTGAACCGATCCATGTGAATTGGTACAAGCTGTACATATCATATCGCCATTCTGACCCATGTGAAATTGTTATCCCAAGCTGAATGCCTTCACACTTACCTTTGTAGTGAAATATCATAGACTTGTTGGAGTGAAGCTTACCAGTGGCACATTGATTGCAGACCAGGTGATATTGGGCACTGATGCTACAGGCTTGATGAGGGTTGTAGGGAAGAAGGGGTTGTAGTGTCCTGTGGCTGCCAAGTACAAAGTCACCACAATATTGAAAGGCAGAGTGAGAACAGGAAGATCCCATTTGCTGAAGATGGATCCCAAAGCACTGGACAGGATTGGACTGAGAACAGAAGGAGGAGAGAAACTAATATAATGTGTTCAGAACAATTATAGTGGTGAAACAGCCTACCACTTTGGTTTTAAGCTCTGGTAAATGCAAACTGACACCATTCCTTTTAGAAACATCAGGTATTGATGTTACCTCAATACATTAGTCTGCATCAGACAAATAGCTGCAGAATGCTGTTCATCTTTTTGCAACAACTATCACATCCATTCAGGGATGGTATAAACTCCACACCCTTCTCTCAGGACAGCCGGTTAGTGTGCAAGTGCCCTGCTAGCTATGCTGAGCTCAGGGAGTTGATGAAAGAACACATTCAGTACAGCATTTAGGCATGGATGGAGAAAGGTGATCTGGCTTCTTATTCTACAGAAAAATCTACTAGGAACCAGAATTTCGGGAATGCCACATGAAGGACTTTGTAGAACTCCAGATGGTATAAAAGGCTCCTGTCTTGATGAGGCAAGAAGGAGTTGGAAATGATGTAATTTCCTTTTTGTGTGTTAAATAGTTTGAAGGATACCAGAAGAGAATTCTAGAGATACCAGAAGAGCGTTCTAGAAGAGAAATAAAGCAGAAGAGATGATCAAAGAGGATGGAAAACCTTCCATTAAGAAAGATGTAAAATATTTACTATGTTAGATGCTATTCTGGGGGAATGAGGAGTCCTTAGGGCATATGGAGCCTGACAGAATGTAAGATGAAGTCACCACTCTAGCAGAGCTGGTGATGTGCCAGCCGTGACCCAGACCTTGACTGATGTTCCTGCTCAACGAGACTGATGTTACTGTGTGCTGCCCAGGTACCGCCCAAAATCACATGGCATTTTCTGAAAACTGAGCCTCCCTCTTAAGAAACATGATTGACTATATTTAGCACGTAAACACTAAAAAGCATGTGAACCTTGAGGTAGCGTGAGTGTCCCCAAAGTTCTTGGCTGTAGAATTTGGGCTATAAACTTCACCAGATTAGGATATTTCCAGACTGCCTTATTTCCACTTGAAATGGGTGTCCTGTATGAATGCTTTTGTGGGAGCATATTGGCAAGATAATATCTGTTTTTTACGGGGCCCAGAAGGCTTGTGGAAGAGAGTGAAAGCCCAGGTCCTGTCCTTGATGGCAATAGACTGTGTTCTGCTGCTTCCAGCTGAGCTTTCCTGATATAAGTGACCTGAGCAGCTCTGATGGTCAACCCTCGAGTAGCAATGGACATGGCACAGTTGGCAAAAAATTGATTTTAAAGACTTGAGTTTTTCAAGAAGCTGCATTTGAGTCCTAGAGAGTCATTAAGCTGGTTCTAATAAAAAACCCCACCCAAATTATTTCGCATTTCAAAAGCAACATCTTGTGTCCTGTTGTGTAGATACTATCAGTGGAAAAAATGCTTTGTTCTCCCTGTATAATCTCAGATGAAGTCTATTCTTTTATGACAAATTCAGTTCCCAGAGCAGTTTACAGATTTCATTGCTTGTAGCTGTAGGAAAAAAAATCAGCACTTCAGTGAAAACGGTGTCCTAATTTCTGTGCTGAAATGCAAAGCTTCTGCCAGTTATACAACTTGTCAGAAAAAAAGAAACAATTAAAGAAATGCTGACTTCCAAAACTGAAATTCAAAGTATCAGTTGAAAAAATCACTGAAATGTCTAATTTTAAAATCTTTCATCTCTACTCTCAAGTCTTATGAACTAAAAGAATGAAGACAAGTTTGAATAAAAAGCCTCAAGGAATTCTGGCAGATGAGACAAACTAAACATTCTTGCAACATGTCCTGGGTTTTGAGAGGTTGTTACAAAATGACCTTTGCTGAAAGTGACTAAATAAATAAAATATGAAAAAAAAAATCTGATCTTAAAAGCAGTGAAATGCAATAATGACTTGCATCTTATCACCAGCCGTGATTAAAATATGAGTCTTGAATTAATTTCAGTCAAAGCTGCTAAATGGATTCTGCAGTACTGTCCATATTTAGAAATGGTAAATTTAATCCTGAAAGGACATTGTCTGGCATTCGGAATTACTCTGAGGAATTAATTTTGCTCATGACTGGCTGTGTATCTGAGAGGGGGGATGTTGAATTCAGCCTGAGGGAGAGCACCCGGTCAGTTCAGCACCTGGATGAGGAAGAACGGTTGTGGTGGTGGGCGCAATGACATCCCCCCCGAATGTGTCCTGCTGATGAGGGCCATTTGTAGAGGGTTGAAATGGGGCTGCTGTGTCCATGTGCTATAATCAGTGTTGTCTGTGCTCTCAACCTCCTACCAATGTCCCTCACGAGCTCCGTGCATCAATGGATGCCTCTTTCCAGTGCCACCTGGAAAAACATGGCTGGAGCTGCTGGTGTAGAGGGGACTTCCAATGTGTTTAAGCTGTATATAGCAGGACTCCACATTCTCTGAAAACTGTCCCTAGGAGGAGAAGTGGCACTTACCAGGCCATCGATATAACCGCCACAGGAGGAAGAAGCCACCAGTAGTAATCCCCTTTGTCAGAGAAGACGGCCATGAGCAGTCCCACCAAGATCCCATTATAGCCGTGCAGCCCGGCTGCAATAGCTGATCTGTGATGGAAATAAATGTTTGCAAGGTAGCCAGCTGTGCTGGAGGTGACCTGTCACAGGGGCTTACTGAAATGCAATTTACAAACGTCCTGCTCCTGGTGAAGGGAGTGTAGGGGGAGGGATGAAAAAGCAGCGAGGTTGCTGCCATATTGCATTACACTGGTGTGTGGAAGGGAGCGGTTTGGAGACTGTTCAATTATCACAGAATCGCTAAATCTCCTCGATTGGAAAAGACCTGTAAGACCATCTAGTTCAATCATTAACTGAACACTGACAAGCCCACCACTAAACCATGTCCCTGAGCACTATATCTACACCACCCTTAAATACGTCCAGGGATGGGGACTCCACCACTGCCCTGGGTAACGCGTTTCGATGCCTGATAATTAAGATGATGTAGGGGGCTCCTTGTGACCCAAAGGATCTGCATGATTGTGACAATGGCTTTTAGAGAGAGGTAACTGCTCTCACAAAGACAGCCAGCTATGGGCACAGGCCAGTTCTTCCTGGACCACAGCTCTGTCCTCACCTAACTGCTTCCAAACCATCTGTAAGGAACACCAGTCTGCTGACTCTAACATACTCGAATGTGGGGCTATGACCCATCAGTCCATTCCTGATAACATAAGGATCAATTTTTATTAACTGCCCGGATTCGAGGTACCACCTACCTGTCCTGACTGAGAGCCAGCGCAGTTAATGTTGACACGGTGGTTCCAGTACAGCCTGTGAGCATGCTCCATGGGCTCTGGATGAAGATCCCCAGTAGAATGATCAGCCCGCTGAGAGGGTTGTTGACAAACATCACCTGAGAGGTCCCTCGCAAGATCCAGTCCACCAGCTGGACCAGTAGAGGTTTGCCTGGAGGAGATAAAATATAAATCCTGGCCATAAGGCATGGTTTTAGCAGAACTCCCTCAAAGCACACTCATCTCTGCAGTTGCTCTCTGTCCACAGAACAGAGGCAATGTATCAACAGGACTGTAAAACCAGTCTCTCATTTATTGATGTCTGAGCATATTTTGCGTCTGGCACTTGAAAAGCTAATAGGGATGGACTGGGCACGGCTATAAAGTTCACGGAGGGATTCATAAAAAAGTGCTTTATTTATGGTGGTCAAAGAATAGTCTTTCTTGCGTGGTAGATTGCTTAAGATTCTGCTGTAAATTTAGTGATGAGATAGTCCCTTTTTGGTGTATAATTCAGTTGCAGAGAAGGACTTAGGCAGAGACTGAAACTCGTTTGTATGTAGGTAGGGAAATACAACAAGGAAACAATTTGGCTGTTTTAAGGACCCAGAACATGGAGGTACACTGTATGTAGAAGATGGGGCTCAAACTGTCAAAGTTGTCTAAAAAGTACTTTGGGAACTGAAGAACCTAGATTAAGAGAATAGTTGTTATAGCTTGGACTGTAATCAGGGGCAAGAGGTATTTCCAAAGGACAAAGAGCCATTGCTCTTTAGAGAAGACTATTGAACCCGGGCAAACGGGGCACCAAGCTCGAGTACCTCAGGTGAGTGTGAGAAGGAGATGGGATGCATGCGGGGTTGAGGGCAGCCCATCTGAGGGCATCTATGCACAGTGATCTAATGTACATGCTAATGATCTCCATGGGCAGAGGAGGATCTTGTAGCACTGCAAGAACATTTTGCTGCTGACTCTTCTACTGCAAATTGACTTAAAGTCTTTTTCTGCCACGCTTCTGGGAAAGGTGTAACTGTTCCTGTGCTGCTGTGCATGACTAAATGTGATGCAAGGAGAATAAATGAGAAAGAGGGGCTGATTGCATGTATAATATGTTCATACAATGTGTAAATGCAACTTTCATCTTCTTAAATATCTAAAACTAATTCAATTAGTTTAGATTGTTAATTGGACACAGCATGAAGTACCAGACTACTTTTTGAATCTGGGCAATGACTTGTTCCTAAAAATTCCTCTCTTCCCCATTCCCTCCTTTTCTACTTCCCTGTGTTGTATTTACAGTCAACCTTCAAGTTTTGCTTTCTGATGAGATTAGCTTAAATAGAGGATCCTTGAAAGGCTGGGTACCACTCTGCATCTCTTCAGCATCACTGGGAGAGCCCTCCCCAGAGGCTGGAACACAAGTTGAGGGATGGCTTCGCATGCATCCCTCAGGCTGTGCATTGTTGGGGAGCCAGGCAGTTACAACCAAGGAAGAATGAGTTCCTTAGAGAAAAATAATCAGGCTTTTCTGGAGTAATTATTACTAATATTTAATGTTGAGCTGTGAAATATATAAACAATGATCTTGGTTTTAGACACAAGTATTAACTGTAAGTATTCAAATATAGCCAGTGCGCAGTGGCCAAAGCTTTTCAGGACATTGAGTAAGAAAAGCTGTCTTAACAAGCATGGGCCACTAGAGTAAAGACAAAGCAGGAGGAGATGATGCCCTGCAGCTGGGGACCACACTGCCAGCCTGCTGACCTCCCTGCCTGGAGGCATCTCAGCCCGTGCTTTCCACCACCGGTAGCCACTGCACAGCCCGGCTGTGTGCATGGCTGTCTCGTATTTCTCCCCCGTTGCTGGAGTTGGGCTGCTAATGAACCTAGCCTTGACAGAGGACCCACAGTCTTAGATAGCCTCTCAAAGCCCCAAATCCCTCATAATTCTGGGTAACACGGACCATCTGCTCATGTATTGTTCCTGCCTGGACAGTAAACCTTTGAGATCAGTACTTGCTTTGTGTTTTATAGCAACAGAACAGCCACAGCGCTTATTGCTCCCCCAAGGCTGGTAATACAAGAGCCTTTGCCCACACAACCACGAGTCAAGTCCCCTTCGTCAGCCCACACACAGACGAGGAGATGGTCGCTGATCCAAAGCACTTACAAACAAGATCGAATCCCCAGCCCTGATGCGTGATTCTGGGCACCGCTATAGGGAACGTGATGCTAATGACACATAACCGATTAAGTGTAAAACATGTCTTTTGCCTGTGCTGAATTATGGCCGCAGCCACAGTAATGGCAGGGGGATGCAGTGAGATCCCCTTCCTGAGAATAAAATGTTTTGGGTTAAAAGGCCAAAAGTTCGCATTGAACTCGGACCACGCTGCCTCAGGGGGTGGAATGGCCCCTTGTCTCGTGCCTCAGCACTGAAAGTACTGCAGGCAATACAGATGTCCCCAGCTAGCTCTTCCAAGCCAGAGAGCCCCAAACGTATCCTTCTGCTTACTTTTCATCCACTCTCCATATTCTTTCATTTCTCCCGTGAGATAACCAAAAACTTGGTGGATCCGATTGCTGCTTCTCCCCAGCAGGTCCTGGGCTCTCGGCTTCTGCTCTGTGTACAACTGCCTCTCACCAGGACGGTCAGCCACAACGATCTCTCCAAGGTCCATCTCTTTTGGGTGGTGAGAAGAGGTAACTGTAAATCACAAAGCCCATGTGTTAGAAAACCTTGTGGGTTGTGCCCTGGCAAGTTTCTGCTATAGAGCCCCATAGAATCGTAGCATTGTCTAGGTTGGAAGGGACCTTGGTGATACCCTTTTTCAAAGATGGGATGTCTAATGGAGAAGGGACCTGCCTGAACCACTACTGAGAGTGGAGTGCACCTCTGCCTGGGGCAGTAGTGTCTCCTCTTGGGGATGAGGACCATGAAATGACCCACTGCTGTCACGGAGCTGTGGCAGAAAGCAGCAAGGGGAAAGAGGGATGTGACAGAGGTGCCTGGCAGCATTCCACCCTCACTCCAGCTCCTGGTGCAGCGTGTGACAAGTGGCTGGTTGGACAGGGGACACAGCCTTTGCCAAGTAACCAAGCGGTACCTGCATGCTGTTGCGGCTACCAAGGAGGGAACCTGCTGATGTTTGGCTAGCAGCGAGCTGGAGGGAAGCAGTGCAAATTGCCACTACAGTAGCGGATAGCAGGAGACAAGGAAATACTGGAGGAGAAGCTGAAGCCTGTATGCCTTTTGATGTTTTTAAGCTGGTGCCTTTGTATGTCACAGCAAATCTATGACCTTTCCATGCTCCTCGTTCCACATCTGCCTTTGATAGACGATCAAGAGCAAACTGGGGCAGCATCAAAGTATTGCGCAGATATCAGCATCCAAGTGTGGTTTTAGACAGAGATAAGAACCTTCGTTCAGGGCTGTGTGCTCTTTAAGTACCAAGTGAATATCCAGGCAGGATTATGGCTTTATTAAACTCCTAATTACAGTTGCTGGGCTCTGTTCATTAAAAAGCCCGTTAAGATCTAAACCCTTAAGAGAAAATACACTGCATGGCGCACCAATGAGCTACACTGCAGGTTACATCTGCAAAAACGTCCCCCTCACCCCCACGACTTCTGAGGGAGTCTGGCATCATCTGCTGTGTGGTTTCGCTCTGGCCATTTTTGGTCAGAATGTGGCTGGGTTTCGACGTGTTGCCCCGAAGTGGACTGTATCGTGAAGTGCTTGCCCCGTGTTTCGTGGAAGATGGGCACCACCTTCTGGTGGGAGCCTGTTTTGGTTTTTTTTGGGTTTTTTTTTTTTTTTTGTTTTGTTTTTTGGTAGCTCAGACAGGCCGGCTGGCTGCGTGGTGCAGCAGCAGGACAGGCTGGGAAGGGATGCCTGGCTGGAGGGAAGGATGTTTTGCGGAGAGGAACATTGACAGGCAGATGGTAAAAATATCCGTGGCTCTGAATACCCTAATAAGAAGGTCCTTGAGCATCAAAAGCCGTTTTCCCTTCACCCCTGGCAGCACAATGCGAAGTGCATCCCTGCAAAATGCACTGCGCAGCGCTTGCTGTCTAGTGCTTTGGCTCTCTCTGCCGGCAGCTCGTCCCTACCGCAGCGAGAGTCTTTGGGATGACCTTCATGCAGAAGCATCAGCCTGCGGCTGGATGTAAGGGCAGGCAATGTCGTCAGGTGTAACTGTAAAAAACTAACCCTAACCAGCACTCAGTTTGATTGATCCTAAGTGGCAGGAGGATCATAGAAGGTATTGTGGTGGTCTAAAGCAACAAATGTGGTTGTGCAAGGAGTGGACGTCCCCAAGACCTTGCTCACAAGTATCTCATGGGGTTGTGAAGAAGAAGGTTCCCAGGTTCTGTCCAGCTGCACTCAGTGCGAAAAAGAATGGGCAAAAAAAGGGGGGGGGGGGGGTTTTTGGTCCTTTTTTTTTTTTTTTTTTTTTTTTTTTTTATCTGTAAGCTGATTCTGGCCAGAAGCTGAGTCCAATCCCTGGTTGCAGTTTCAGGCAGCCTTAATGACTGCCATTTTTGGCTTGTTTCTTGTGGTTATCCAGGAGAACATTGGTATAGGGAACACTGAGCAGGAGTTCCCTTTCTTCTCCTACATGTCCTCTAGGCTGAGCGAATTCGCATGGTCAGATATTGTGAATTTGCATCCCTCTGAGGTAGGAAGAGGACAGGTCATACTGGAAAAACAGGTATTTGTTCCTGAATTCATCCCATAAACACTGGGCTGTGTAAGATGTGTCATTGCCCTGGGCTTGCTGGTAGTCAGTGTAGCTTTGGGCACCTTCAGATGGAAGTCAACCCATCTCAGCTCAGAACTGCCCTCTGAAAGTTCCTGGTTCTTCTCTTTGACAGCTTAACCGGGGTACTCCAGTCAAACACCCAGTGGTTTTGGGGAAGGACACAGGGTCTGAGGTCAACAGTACAAGCAGAGAAGAGACCCCAAAGCAATGCCAGGCTAGCACCTGGCTGTCCTAGAAGTTGCTTTCCCTCTAGAGCTAATATTCATATTTAGCAGGTGCGGCTGATATTAGAGATACTCAGTGTGGCCTATTTTGTTTGTTTGCTCATGTTCCTTCCAGAAGAATTCTCCAAAGAGTTGCAAGAGTTGAGGTGGGCTCAGACAGCTGCAGTGGATCCACATAAGGGAGACTGGGGCACCTCTTAGGATCTTGAAGTTTTGGGGACACACCGGGAAAGAAAAATTAGTGGCCCCTTTGCTGTGAACAGTACCCACCACCAGCAACCAAAGGCAGCTGTTACCAGCAGGGAGAATAAATGCTGAGTGGTTGTGTCTATGTCTTCATAGCACCTGAAAATCTCATGCTCATGTTAAACCTCACCAGGAAAAATAACTGTTGGGTTTTACAAAGGAGAAACATCACTGCAGAGCTTCTAAAGCTTGTATTTACAAGACTGTGCTGCTCAATTCCCTCTGCAATTGAGACGTGGGACTTGTATATTTTAAAAATTCTTGTCCTTGCTCACATAATTTAACTGTTAGGGGTTAAGTGCAAAGTAGTCATGTGAGAGCCCTTTGCAGTCAATACAGAGAGAGGCTAGTATCTCCAGAGAGTGATTCATGTCCCTTTTACATACCTATCTGAGTTGTGAAAAAAGGGTGTCCGTCTCTCTCTTTCCAGCAGCTGCAGAGGGAGCCTGGTTGCTGAGCTTTTAGAGAGCTATTTTCAGGCAAGAGAAACTCCAGCCTAAGAGATTTTGCCAAGGTCAACCTTGAAGTTTATGGAAGTGGGATCTGGAATCCCAGGCTAGTGCTTTAAATCACTGAGCCATCTGTAACAGGCCTGTAATCTGCGTCAAGAAGGGCATCAAAGCTCTGGGGCTAAGAAAAAAAATTGCAGTCTCTTCCTACGATTCCTGTTTGCTGTCTCCCTGCAGATCAGAAGGGAACTAAATCTCTGCTTGGAAGGGAGCACATTCAGCCGCCTCAGATGAGAAGGCAACCTAGGACATGACTGGAGGAGATGGCTGGGAAATTACCATTTTTCGGGGGGAAAGAAGTAGTATAAAAAACAGATATGGGGGTGCTGAAATTCTCTATAATGCCACTGCGGTGAACTGTGGGTCTTTACAGCAGAGGAGCTCAAGAGGCTGCAACAGCTAGGGAAGATCCTGGAGGGCAGTGGTGGACACAGTGATCCCTGCAGGAGCCTCACCCTGGAAAAGCACAATCTCTTTGCAGTGAGCACCTGTCAGTCCATACGCTTGTGCTCAGTGGTACAGGCTCCATGAATAATAGAGAAATCATTTGAACAATTAGCTAATTAGGGCTAATGAGAGCCTGAATCACTTATGGCACACCTAGGGCTGATGGGGAATTCCTTGAGAAAAGGGCCTTTTGTCAGCAAACGCTGATTCATCAGTGTGGTAATGAGCTGTCCTGCTTCTTATGAGCATTCATCAGATGTTGTGGGGTAGTGCCTGGTGGTTGGGGCTCATCCCTAGACCTGCCTGTGCCTTCTCATTCCCAGGCAGACAGCTGTTGTAGCATGCTTTTGAGGTGCAGGATCCTGATAGCACAGAGCCTTGTATTTTTAAGCCTCCTGGAGTAAGCACTGGGTTTCTGTTTGGCTTGTGCCACTAGAGAAAATGTTCACCGTGTTGCACCCTCACATAACTGGCAGTGAGCTGGTGGCCCCATGAAAAACACCAACCAACCCACAGGTGGGCTGTGAACAGTGGGACGGTGCATGACCAGAGTGATGGGTGATGCGTAACACTTGAGCCAACTTTTCTCCAGGGCTGCTGTTTGTGTCGGGAGCCTAGCCTTCTGCTGAAATACCTGAAGCCAAGCCTGGGGAATTGCTCTTTCCTCCCCTATGAAAGCATAGAGGTGATCAGAAAAGCATTGACTTCAAGGGACGTGGCCTCAACAAGGGCCTTGAAAAGAAACAGTTTGTAAAAGCACGTTGCTCTCATAAGAAACCGTAAAGAAATAGGAAAGAAATACAGTGTACAGCTAGAGGGCAAAACTTTGGGATGGTGACAGAATGCTTGGCTGAGTCGTAATGACTTTACCAAGCAAAGCTCTACCAGGGATCAACCCGTGACACTGAAAACAAATGAACAAAGCAGAGCATTTCAGAACAGCCACTGAGGTTGAATGCAATACAATTGCAGAGAGCAGGTATGAAACACTTAGCCACAGACCTTTAAAGTAAAAAAAAAAAAAAAATCCACCCAAAAAGAAAAAAATGCTCAAGCAAACTTGTTTCCTATCACAGGCATTACATGAAGCCACGTTCCAGAGCAGCGCTGTCATATCTGTACAAACACAACTACCACACAATAGTTAGTAATCAAGATAGTTTAACTTATGGAGCTAAATATGACTCTTACATCCTTATTTAGATACTTGGCTTTTGTGATGCGGTCTTGGAGTCTTTCTGTGTCTTCCTTTCCCAGCCTGCGTAGTATGTAATGCAATACGTTGCTTTGCTCCAACGGCGATACTGTTCTTTACTGCTTCTTTTTAGTTCCCTCTGCTGCAGCAGTGTCTCTCAATCTGCCAAATAGAGGCACACAGTTTATTTAATGGCTTGTCCTGGTGACTTGCATAAAAGTTGTGCTGATACCATTTGTATATGGATTGTATCTATATATATACGAGTGTGTGCAACTGTGGGGAAGGAGCATT